ACTCGCAGTCAAATCATAGATTTTATCAATCGACTTTTAATGAACAATTTCTGTGAGATTTCCCTATAACTCCCAACCACTTGCGATCAATGTAGCATACTTCTGTCGAAAACCGTAACTAACGGAAAGATAAACAACGGCACAAAGCGTAAGGGTCGTGATCAAAGTTCAAGAACTCGTCGATAGCGATATAGATACGAACAAGATGTGCCTCATAAACAAAGGTATTTTTGACGGAAATTCACTGCAACATTTGTGTAAGACGACAAATAAATTAGCGAATCTGTCAAATTAAGTTCGTCACGGTGAAAACAATGGACGAAAAAAAAAAACTACCACGAAACCAACGCGTGCTCAATCGATCAAACTTTAGCTTATAAAATGTCGCAAGCTAATTTAAGAATACGTGCTCGAAATCAAAACAAATTTTCGCTGTCGACGCTTACCAGCGCATTCAACTGTTCCAACGATGGGTTTAGACAGTGAATAGGTGTTTGCTGCTTCTATTATGGGCTTGGTGGCAGCATTCGCCATCTGAATCGTGCTTTCACCAGCATTACAAGCCATTCTGGTCACCGAATTTCGTTCTTTCACTGCATTGTAAATTTCAGTGAGTTGACCGACGGCAGCCCTTGCTACGGGCAGGTCCCAAAAACGAGTCGTGAAAGACTTGTTATCTGCTTCAAGAGTCATCGCGACTTCAGAGGCCATGTTTCTTCGTCAAGTTTAAGATTTCCTTGCGATGCCACAACGTTTACCGCTTGCTACTGTAGATCACAAGACTTATCAAACCGATCAGAATACAATCTTTATTGCGAAGAGCGTCGGACTTTGGTCCCGGTAGAGCCGATTAAAATTATCCAATCATAACAGTTGTAATATAAAACACTCTTTCGCATGGGCAATTAGACCAATCAGAAAGTCCGTAATGTTTGTTTCAAATGATGTAATCACCAGTTCCAGAGTACTTCTCGGGCAAAGTTCGTGGGACACCAGTCCCACGTGACTGGACACGACCTCTGCTCTTTTATATTTCAGT